AGAGAGAGAGAGAGAGAGAGAGAGAGAGAGAGAGAGAGAGAGAGAGAGAGAGAGACAGGTCATCCTTGAAACAAGAGTGCCCCTTTTATTGTGTTCCAGGACAGCTTATCTAGGGCTCTCCTTGACTAATGGCCATGCCCTAGCTCTCTGGACTTTCCAGCTGCAAGCCCACCAGAAACCACTCCCCTGCCATCAGGAACTCCTGAGGGTCTCGTGCTCAGAGCAGCTGCAAACACAGGAAAACAAGTTGTTTACTCCCGCAGGCAAGGGGTCACAGAAAATTCAGGGTCTGAGGGTCTGCAGTCCCCAACAGGGGAGAGAGTGGATAGTTTCAGAGTGATGGAAAGTTGTTTAAGCTGAGGAGTGAGGTGAAGCTTAATGAAGGACTTCCACAGCAGCTTGCCTTCCACCCCCCAGGAACCTGACCCTGTGCACATCCGTGTTCTTCTGGTTGAGTCTAAATGGGCTCTCTGATGTCTGTATCTGTAGCTAACAAGCCGTCTGTTGGATTTACAGAACAGTGTGCAGGGCTGGGGCTGTAGCTCGTGTAGCTGAGTGCTTGCCTAACATTTGGGGAGCCCTAGGTTCCATCCCCAACATGACCAAAAATTAAAAAATATAAAAACTCACAGCCTGCTGGAGAAGGTGTCGTGTGTGAGGCTGCGTGAGAGAAGAACAGAATGGCTGAAGTAGGCCGAACAATGACTGTTGAACATGACTTTAGGGTGGGTCCCAAATTAATGGCTGCTTAACTCCAGACTCAGAGTTGAGATTTGGACACTGGTATACTTAATATGGGTTTGGTTTTGGTCTGGAGACAAGGTGTGGAGCCCACTGTGGTTTGATCTTTGTCAGACAAGAAAGCGAATGAGAGATGGTCAAAGAAAGCCAAGGTCCTGGGAACGTTTTATACAAGGGTTAAAGGGTTCAGAATAGTTATTTCTGGGGCTAGTTCAGGGGTTCAGGCTGCCTGTGATGATTACTTGGCTAAGGAAAAGGCGTCTTCTGTCTTGAATTCATTTAAAGTAGAGGCTAAGGCTTGGGTGTAGATCTGTGGTAATGCACGTGACTAAGGGAGAGGCTGTGTTTTTTCTGTCAAGAATGCTGGAGAGGAGAGAATATGGTATTTCTTGGGTTCCTGGATTCTATCTCTAGAATTTGATGTCGTCTCTTAGGAATAGTGCTGTTTGGTGTGGTATTCTAGACTTGATCCTAGACATTTTTTTTTCTGTTTCTGAGTTTTGGACTCAATTGGGTCCCCACTTGGTTATTTAATGTATTTCCATATGTCTCCATACGTTGAGGGAAGGGAATCTCAAGAAAGTTGAATAGTGAGTTTGCCGGGTTTGTCCGGTCCTACTGGAATGGCTGGAGTTAGGTGAGGACAGATGTTAAGTTCAAGGGTTCCAACAAACTCCTTCCCTCCCTTGCCTGTGAACAGCATCTTTTTACCTTACAGGCAGGTTCATCTCAGGAGTTGCTGTGCTGGTGGCTTTTGTCAACTTGATACAAACCTAGGCATAACTGGGAAGAGGGAATTTTAATTGAGAAAATGCTTCCATGAGATTGGCTCCTAGGCATTTTTTTTCCTTCCTTCCTTCCTTCCTTCCTTCCTTCCTTCCTTCCTTCCTTC